GCCGGCCGGAAATCGCCTCCACCGGCGGCGAAGCTCCAAATGACCCCAAAATTTCACCATAAGCTCCCCGTCCCCTCCTCTTTCCAAATCCCCAAGTCCCATCCCTCAATTCCTAGCCGATTTTCTCAAATCTTAGATCGAAATTCCGGCAAAAACCCTAATTCGTCCAAACCAGCCCAAACTTACACCACATATCCTCCTCATCTCCTTCTTCATGAATCTATAACCTATAACCCTCAAACATTACCCGATCTCCTCGAATTTTAGATCGAAGATTGACCTCAAAACCCTAATTTTTCAAACTCCGGATTTCGTTTGATTTTGGACTGTAATAGTCCTTCATCTTGTGTTTCTCATGGAAACACACGATTAAGGACAAGTTTCAGTCCGGATTTTGCAAGGGCCTGGCCGGAATCACAGTCGATTAATTAAGGTATTTTTTTTTCTTGTTGTAATCCTGTTTTAGTATTTGTTTAGCCAAATTAGTAAGTTTTCTTAGTAATTTTCTATTTTTTTTTATTCTGATTTTGTTGAGTCAGTATTTAGCTAGTCTGTTATGATTAATCATGTTTTAGTAATTTTGATATTAGTTTAATTTCTGTTTGAATGTGCGTTTCAATTTAATGTTAACATAGGCTTTAATTTCTTTGGTCAATCCTGTTAGTTAGTATTTGATTTTAGTTATTAATTTTTGTTTTGATTAGTTATTCTTTGGTTGCAATTAGTTAGACTTTATTAATTCAGTTGTTTGGTTATAGCTGAAGGGGTTTGACTAGTGTTAGTAATTTTAGAACTCAAGTAAGGGTAGTATAGACATTCCATAGGTAGGAAAACAAAGCTAGAATACCCTAGATCCTTCTAGAAGGGGGTCTTAGTGTAAGTTTCTGCATTTTTAATGCAGTAACTTGGGCAACAAGCCATAAAATTAGGGATTAAGGTACAATTTTTGAAAATAAAAAGGGGGAAAAATGAGTAAAAATTTCCAGAACCTTCCGCCCCTTTCCTGCCTATAAAAGGCATGCCTAATGCCTTCATTTGCAAGTTACACACATCTGAAAATTCAAAAAAAATCCCAGCCTCCAAATTTCCCTCCCAAAGCATTTTTCAGTAAGCTTAGAACCTAGAATTTGAAATTCAAAACCAAAAACCAGAATCTGAAAATTCTGAAGCTCCCTTAGATCTTAGTCTTCTTCTTCTTCAAAAAAAAAAACAAAAACAAAAGCGAAAACAGC